AGCCACTCCCTTTGTCCCCACCAGGCTTCTGACACGCCTAGAGCGGCGCCCCTGGCTCCACCTCCCCGCCTGGGAGTCCCAGCTGGGAGGCAGGGCTGCTATCGCCACTCTGGGCACGTCTGAACAGCGGCATTTTCTGACAATTTTTTCACCAAGTCGATTTAACAAAATTAGCAAGTCTCAAGTCAAGTTTCAAGTCACAAACAATAAACCGAAGTCGAGTCTCAAGTCAAGTCACCTAGGTGACTTAAGTCAGACTCTAGTTCAAGTCGTGGAACTCAAGTCAACAACTCTGCAATTTCCTGCTTTCAATTATTGAAGTAGATTATGAAAAATGGTAGAAAATTCCCATATGGAGTCATAGATATGTTTCTTGTTGCTGCTGCTATTTTGGTACAAAGAACTCCCCCTCCCCAAGAAGTAGGAAAACAAACAATGTCATCAGATCAGAGATATTCTACCCCCAATCTGGGGTTAGTGAGATATGGGTAACATTTGGAGAGGTACAGTAGAATTGTAGGTTGTTGCTGCTTCTGCAGGAATTTTTTTAAACCACTTTAGTGTTTTGAGGAACTTACCATGCTAGTTCCTGCACCGTGTTCAAGTTTGGCCACATATTTCAGCAGATAAAGGCCTAAAAGATGAAGTACACAATATGCTACGCCACAGAGAAGAATGAATTGTTAAGGGTTTCATACTCACGCAGAAGTAGTCTGCATGTCGTGCCAGCTTTTGCTAAAATTCTGTTTCAGCTCATTCATCAGGCTGATACCAAGCTTTTGTTTTAGTTCTGCCAGGTGCTTCTCTTTGGCTACTAACACTTGCCGTAAAGTTGAAATTTCATCTTCTAGCTGAATAGAAAAAAAAAATGTTAGCTCATCATGGAAGTATAAATCAATACCACATGCTCAGAATTAGAAGCTGTACGAAGGTTCATGTGCATCTGTATTTGACAGAGGCGTATGGGGTGGGTGTGTCTGTGTGGAGGGAGGAGAGATTCCTTGGGAAGCTGCTCAAACCACCACATCCATTAGTAGAATTCTTTTCAAAATTCACGTCTCTTTAAATATATGACCCCTCTCCCCCCTCCACACACACCTAGCAAGGAGGGGAATTCTCTCACCATCAGGAAAAAACACACAGCAACTACTGTTTGGGGCATCAGGAATCTTTCAATGAAGTCACTTGATTTACACAGAAAATGGGAGTGGTAAGAGCCGGAGTAGACCATGTAACACAGACAACTTCCTTTGAATGCATGAGATTTACATTTCCTATTTACAGCTTCAGCTTAACATAGGTTACAGCCCACCTGCCTTGGATCATATAAAAACATTCATAGCAAGCCTGTCCCAGCCCCCACTAGGGATGTTGGATATAGTATAACTGAATAGTCATGTAACCACATGAAATCTTAGAGGTTACACAACCATTCAGTGTGCTCCTGGCCCCATTCCTGGGAAGCCCCCTGCTACCTCACACTTCTGCTTCTGTATCAGAGGCAGCAGCTCAGGATGGCAGGCAGAGACAGTCTGCAAGGGGAGCCAGTTGAAAAACCAGCTCGCCATGCAGACTGCTACTTGCTGCCCTGTGCTACTGCTTCTGATACTGAGGGAGCAGCATGGGGTAGCAGCAGCACCTGTCAGTGTGGGGTCCAATTCCATTGACTACTCGATTAATCGATAAGGGGGCACTCACTATCCCACTGTTCCTCTCCCTTTGAAATATACAAGAGCCGCCCACGGGGTGCCCTCTGCCTCTCTTCCTTTGAAACGCATAAGAGCCACCTGTGGCTCTTGTACATTTCAAAGGCAGAGGCACAGAGGGGAACCCTTGCCTGTGAGGACTGCTTTGTTCCAGCTCTTACACATTTCCATTTCTCTTACACAGCTCTTACGGGTGGCTCTTACACATTTCAAAGGGCGAGAGGCAGCTGGAACAAAGCAGTCCTCACCAGCAAGAGTTCCCCTCTGTGCCTCTTCCTTTGAAATGTATGAGAGCTGCAGGCAGCTCTCATACTTTCCAAAAGGAGAGGAGCAGCAGTGGGACCGGCATGAGACCATGCCTTTTCCATGCTGCCCCCTGCGGAGCCAGTGCTGGGAGGAGGGGAAAGAGAACCGGCTTTTAAGCTTGCTCCCCCAGCACCAGCTCGTGCTCCCCCCTTTGCGGCCTCTATCAGAGAGAGGTAGCAAGGTAGGTGGGGGGAAGAGCGACTAGTCAAGCTCCTATTTGACTACCCGCTTACATCTCTAGGTTATCGTAAGGTTATCTATCTGATGACAACCCTACTGCCCCCCTCTCCCCCCCCCCGACACACACACTGTAGGTTTCAAATAAAGAGCACCGTTTAAAAAGAACTGCTGTGCTTTTCTGTGTGACTTTTAATCTCTGTTGCTGTTTCACATGGTGTGAAATAATTAAAACAGATTTTTACAAAGCACTGGAAGCTACCAATGGTTGCCTAGTACAGAGACCACACCGTTATAGTGTAGATACAAGGACTGTTATTGGACCTGGCCCCTGTCTGGACTAGGGACATTAATATGCATTTAAGTAACCATGGAAATGCTGGTAGCAGCTCTGGTGGCAGGCTCCTTTCTCTGGGGGCTGGTGCACCTGGGGAGATGGCTTTTAACCTACTCTTTGTACTCTGACAAACTTCTTTTCGATTTTTCAGTCTTTGTTTTATACAAAAATAATGCTGTTCACTAGCATATTAATAGGACATTTGATTAAGGAGAGGACAACTAGAAACCGTTTCAGCCACTAGTTTACCATTTACTCAGACTTATGCTGAGAGTCAGCATCAGGATTAAAAATCTCTACCAGGCAAGCCTCACAGTCTAAGCAGAAGTAGCCCCCTGTAATAATGAATCTGCAGGAGTCATTGGGGGGGGGAGGGGGGAATGTAATTATCATTCTTGACATCACAATTAGAATTTCCATTAAAGTGATTTTATTTTTTTCCCTGCATATCCAATAAATAGATGTCCAAGTGGAAAGCTGGCCACCCTACAATGTCTGAAAACTGAACCGTTGCCTGCCTCTTCCCACAAAGCTGAACTCATGCTCTGCCTCTTCTCTCAAGCCCCATACTCCATTCACCCTTCTCCCGCCTACCCCACCGTTCTCCCACCTCAACTCCAGAATGAGCAGCCCCAAGGGATTTGCCAGCCCCTCAGCTCCAGCAAGCTGCCTGGGAGTGCAGATCAGAAGAGTGCTATAGGAGCAGCCAGGCAGCCCCCTGGAAAGATAGGGTGTGGCCCTCCTGCACTACAGCCCCCTCTGCACTGTGTGCCCAGCAGTCCCCTTTCCTGCCTGCCTGAGCCCTCTCTACCCCAGAGCTGCCTGAGCGCGCAGCCAGAGGGAGCGTGCAGCCAGGGGAAGCGCCAGCTGGCAGGGCAGCACAATTCCTTCCCCTTTGGGGAATGGGACTAGTTAAATGCCTGGACCGCTGCTGAAAACTGGAATATCGTACTTATGGCCAAACCAGCTAAATCAATAGATCTTAGTAAGCCACTACAATGGCTTAGTATAACTAAGCAAGCAAGCTTGACTGATATTTTATGGTGATGATGACTAGGGTTCCAGGGGAGCCAAATGAGGTCACTTAATTGGGGCCAAACTGAAAAGAATAGGGCAGACAATCCCCAAAGCTGGTGGATATTCCAATACTTACTAAGCCAGCACAAAACAGCTTCTATAATAGCTTCTGGGTAGCTACTAAGGTAACACCTCAGTTCTCTTAAAGCAACCCAGCCTTAGGCCTCCACTCAGATACCTAACTTAAATAGAATGAGGATCACAAAAGAAAGTTCTTGCAATCCTGAAGAATCCAGATACATTACCTCCTCGGTCATGGATATTTCAGTTCTTTAAAACAAAAAAAACCAAAAAAAACCCATGCTTATAAACACATTAAAATGTATTTTAATAGAAAAAAAAGGAGTATTGGTTAAAAGGTACATACAGACACAAGTACACCTGTGAGATCAGATTCACAGTATAAATTGTGAGCTTTGTGGTTGCAAAGAACTCTTACAAAATTAGCACGTAGGCTATAGTCCAAAGCTCATATTTCAGAATGAGCCCAAGAAGGCTTGACGATCTCAAATCTTGTGACTCAAAACTCTGAAAAAGGGACTGAATGACCCACCCAAGCTGTAGATGTATTTCAGACAGATCTTTAAGCCAGCAAACTCACTAGTATTGCTAGGAACATGACAGACTTTGAAGTCTTCTGTATGTGTGTGACGGCTTTATCATTTAACATTTTTCTTGTTCTTTTTTCTTTATAGTAAACCTTTAGTTTTATAGACACTAAAGGATTGGCTAGAAGTATGATATTTGGTGTAAGAACCAAACCTATAATTACCTGGTAATGTGGCTGACCCTTTGGAATCAGAAGAACATTTTGTATACGTAAGCAGAGTTTTTAAAATAATGTCACTATACTTGGACCTACATGCAGACTGGGAGCCACAGAACTGGAATGCAGTAAGGGGGCCCTGTAATTTTTCTTTTGCTTCTTTTTTCACCACTAGAAGGAAAGGGGGAGGAATCAGAAGCAGTTTGTGACTGGTTGGGAAGTTTAGCTTCAGTGTTGCCCATCAGTTCGAGGACTATCTGCTCTCCTCTTTGCAGCCTGCCCTCGCTTTGGCAATTTCAGTGAGGGCTGCCCCCACACTCTGTGTTACAGTTTCACCAAATCAAATAAATAATGGAAGAAAATATGGGGTAGTTAGACTCTTCAGGAACACATCATAGAGTCCCCATCAGCCGCTGAAAGTTGGGCCAATTGAACGGCTATCATCGTTCTATTCAAGACTACTCCAGACTTCAGTAATTACGAATTTTGGCGACATTTTACTAACCTGATGCAGCTGTACATAAGTGCTTGAGACTAAATAAAGTAGAGCTTCAAGTAAAAGCACTCATGGCATACTGTTTGTGCCAGCCACCTATCAAACAGACAGAGCTCCATTGATTTAATTCCTGCAACTGTCTCACCAAGAGCTTTAGGGTTTTAGAACCACAGTAGCACACTGGAAGCTCCCTACCCTAAGGTGCTTTAAAAAAAAAAATCTATTCCAGAATACTTAATTTTAATTGAATTATAGACTTAATCTCCTCAAATTCTCAGATTTTCCTGACTTTTTTCTAAATGCAAGTGTTTTCCCTTTGAACATAATTACATGCCACTAGAATGCCATAAGCAATTTAAAGCAGTCTTATAAGGCCAGCTGGCCTAGATACTGTAGTTGTAGTGAGTTCAGAACTTTCAATTTGTCTTTGTAAATTTGAATTAATGGTCTCATCCAATGTGGTGAGTGCTGAGTGCCCTAAATTTCCACTGACATCAATGAGAGTGAAGGGTGCTTAGAATCTCACAGGAGGAGACCCTTACGGAATTCACCACTCTGTCCCGCTCCTGCTTTTAGTCTGCCAGAAAAGCAATGAATTCAAGAGCTATCATGTGGACTGGCACACATTTTCTTTAAACATGAAATAACTCCTACCTCATCTGCATGGCCCGAGCCAGATATATACATATAATTAGTAGCCATACTTAAGCATCCCTCCTATTATTCACAGGTGTACAAATTCACTCAAGAAGCAACATGTCACATGCATTTCAGAGACATTAGGTCTTTTCATATCCATAAAAACCCAATGGGACAGAAACAATCAACAGGCTTTTTACTCTCCCTGAAATTCATGTACCAGCATATAGAAGGAATCAAACAGAAGTCTGAGTAGCTCGGTTCAAAAACCAGATAAGGTCATGGAAGAGATGGCAATCAAGGGCTATTAGCCAAAATGGTAAGGAATGGAACCCTATGCTCTGCGTGTTTCTAAACTGCTGACTGCCAGAAGCGGGGCCAGGAGGATGGCAAGGTATTGTATTGTTTGTTCCCTCTGAAGCATGTGGCACAGGCTACTCTCAAAAGACAGGATATTGGGTTAAAGGAATCACTGGGCTAACCCTGTATAGCTATTCTTATAACTGTAATACTTTTACTGTATAGTGGAGGGGGAAAAAAAAAGGAAAAAAAGAGAACTCTTCTAATTCAGAGGATTGATCTAATCCAGAGGATAACAAGTCTTGCATCATTTTCCAAAAGCAACCAGTACCAGATGTTCCAGAGGATGGTACAATTACAAAAGAACCTTTCTATGACTGACAATTGTTAGTGTCCTTTCATGCCCTACAGTTTTGAAGGATTTTGTCCCTCCCAAAACATTTGGCTTATTAAAAACTTTAGAACTGTTACTTTTATTAGTTTTGAATTGCCCATCTTGTAGCTTCACTGAATCCATTTCTTACGGTTTTCTGATTTTAGTGAAAATGTGAACAGAAATTCCCAATCTACTTTCTCTTTGCCCTTCCTTATTGTGAATACTTCTCTCAGTCCCTCTTCTTATTTGTCTCTTCTCTAAAGCAAACAATCCCAATTATTTCAGTCTTGCTCCATATAAAGGTTTTCCACATTTCTAATTGGTTTGGCCCTGAATATCATCTATTTCTTCCGTATCATACAGCAGATATTGTGAAAGGCTGCACTCAGACTGGACTTAAGCTTGATGTTGATTCTCTTCCTAACTTCACCAAAACTAAATCAATAATGCCATGTAATTTCATCTAGTTCAGTCTCTTCCCAACTTCCTTCACTCATTTGGAGATTTTTTTTTTTTTTGGCTGGAGGGAGGAGAATTCTCTTCACTGTACTGTAAGAAGTTCTGTTATCAGGACATTGCAATCTAAGAATCCTGTAAGCAGTTCTTTTCAGTAAGCATGCCACAGGGTGGATGGTTTTTCCAAAGACAGATCTCATCCCATTGGTGACACTGCTGATTTGCCTCCACAGTGGAAAGAATGAATCAAGTCACACGACAGATAGTTTTTACAGGCAGTCATTGACTAACCCAGGCCTCTGTGGGGGTAGAAAAACAGAAGCCTGTGAACAGCCAAAGTGGGGCAATGTAGAGTAGAGTGGCAGGAAGAGCAACTCTCTGGCAGTAGTAGCTAGGTATAAAGACCTAACTGATAGTTTTGCTTTCCATTTGGGGAGTGACAAAGGAGGAAGGCCAGGCCAGGCCTTAGGTCTTTCTGTGTGACTAAAGAGCCAAAACCTCAGGAAGGAGGATTTGGGTCTAGATTTAAAGGCGTAGGTAGATGGAAGACCGTCATTGTTTGTTTTGGAATTTTGTTTTAACGCATCATAACCCAAGAAGAGTGGTTGTTACTGGACTTGTGAAAGCCTTTTGTGCATGAGGAATTGTGTACTGAGGGGCCAGGAAGTGGGAAAACTGAGGTTGGGAGCCACAAGAGCCAATCCCAAGCCACAAGGAGGCTCTCAGGAAGTATTTGACGCTGTTACGAAAGGTTATGGCACAAATGCGTACTCTTCAAAGAACATGAAGCTATAATTTTTTTCGGGGGGCTTTCATTCATCATCTGTGCTGCAAATTTAAAACTAATGACAAGACTCTTGTTTGTTAAAACAGCACAACCATTAATTCTACCTCTGTCATCAACAGGTAATAGACGATTTACCTTCCAAAAATAATCTGACAGAATCAATCACCCTGCATTATTCTAGTCTAGAATAATTAAATAAAGAAAATATAATGTACTTGTGATATCTGCACTTCATCCTGCTACTAACAACTTCCAAATTGAGAAGGTAGAAATATTAATATGCAGAGGATCAAAAACCATTACCTTGGCTAACTCAATCTTTAACTCTTCTTTCTCTTCTTCAGAAATAATGCTGGTGAAATCAACATCAACAACCGTTTCTTCATCCGTCTCGTGCAACGGCTGTGTTTCCAATAGACCTTTGAAAATAAGCAAGTAATAATCAATACTCTTACAATACATTTCACTGAGCACGAATAAGGGGAGGGGCGGGGGAGAGAAGAGGCAGACATCTGTATGAAACCTAAATAATGGTCTAGTATTTGCTACATGCATTAGAGCAGTGGTTTTCAAAGTTGGATTGCAGGCCCGCCCAGGCCATGCCCACTTCCCACGGCTCCCCTTTGTTGGATATAGCAAACCACAGCCTAAGGGAGCTGCAAGGCTCCGTGGCTATGGACACTTCGATAAACAAAGGGTTGCAGGCCTGCCAGAGACTTACCCAAGTGGGCCCATGACCGAACTTTGAAAACCACTGCATCACAGTTATCCAGGTCTTTTTAATATAGCCCATTTGGATTCCTCTTCTTTTTACTTTTGCAAACCCATTGCAAAGGGTAGATAATCATAGAAATGCAGGGCTGGAAAGGACGTCAAGGGATCATCCAGTCCATCTCCCTGCCTCAGGCAAGATTAAGTATACGTAGGACATCCTGGAGTGGTGTTTGTCTATCATATTCTTAAAAACCTTTAATGGTGGGGATTCTACTTCTTTGCTGCTGCTCTGGTGCTTAACTATCCTTATAGCTAGAATGCTTTTCCTAAGATCTAACTGTGATGACGGGAGCTGGATGGATGCATTACCTAGTGGTTACGGTAATTTTTTTCCCCCATGGAGAGGAGAGTGGGTAGGGGAGTCGAGGCTCTCCCACTCCACGGGACAATGGCCCCAGACTCTGGGTGACTCTTCAAAGGCCAAGTACCCTAAGCACCTTACAGCTGTTATTTTTGGGACACTTCCCATTTTCCATCTTATAGTCCTAGTTTTTCAGTCTGTAGCAGAACTGTGGGCAAAAAGAGTACTGACTGTCTTTAGTCTGTGTGCTAGGTTCCTCTTTTCCCTGAGGAGCTTCTGCAGCATCCCTTCTCAGGATCACCCAGGACACGTTCACCTCTCTGCTTTGTCAGAATCATTCTGAGCTGTCAGGCTTCCTTTTAAGCTTCATTCCCATCTGGTATATGGTCTGCAGATGTAGCTAGGTCCAAAATTGCTCTTTAACATCTTCAGTCCCAGTGTGAGATTCACATACCCCATCACACCAGCCTCGATCTCCCTTGATGTAAACTAAGCGTATCACTTCCTGCACTGCCCTTGATGGTCATGAAGAACAACAGTATTTTGTTTTATTGTTTTTGAATAATATATGGATGTGAAAGCACCAACAAGATCAAGAAATCAAACATCACTGGACACCACACACAACACTAGTGCATCATGGAACAATGTAGGGGAAAAAAAGTGAAAAATCCAGCCTTTTCTTCAACGTAAAACAATTAATCAGTTAATAAAATATGGGTCATTGCTGTGTGATGTCAACCACATGGATGACAACAACACTGCTGGTCAATATAGTGCTATGTTTTACAGTAGTTCAAATATGCTTTGAAAATATAAAAAAGTTGTTGGGTATGTCTACACTTGCACCCTCGTTCATTTTTGAGGGGTAACATTAGTTCGAACCAAGGGGTTTGGCTCGAACTAACGCGTTCCGGCGCGCACTTTCACTTTCGAAACTGCTGTTGAGTGGAGAAACGCACCAGCGAGATCATGCTAATAAGTGTGAGATATTTAAATCCCCACTTCATTAGCAATTTCGGTCGCCTACATTTGCATCCCTAGTTCGAACGAGGGTGCAAGTGTAGACGTACCCTTAGAGATGTAGCAGAGCCTCTCCGATTAACTGAGTAATGCTACTATGGAAGAAGAGTACCCCAGGGTTTAACTTCACTGTTGAAAAGGTGCATTTTTTTAAATCATCTGACTTATGCACATGCGCTATCCCAAGTTTTTTTTGTTTTTTTGTTTTTGTTTTTTTTGTTTGTTTTTAAAAACAAGTGAAAACAAAGCATTTTACTTTTACTAGGAGGTAAAATTACTACACTTACTCCTATATCAGCCAAAAGCTATTAGGGATGGGGGTGAAGCAGTAGATGTGATACTAAAAGATAAGGCTTTTGAAAGTCTCACATGATATTTCAAAAAAACCTAGAGAAATATGGTTTAGATGAAATTAACATGGGGGGTGGGAAGAGGAGGGAGAGTTGTACAACCTATTGAAAGGCCATACTGAAAGAGCAGATATCAATGATTCAGTCACATTGACGTGTCCTTTCAAGTGGAGTTTCACAGGGGATCAGATTCAATATTTTCATTAATGACTGGGATAAAATGTATTGAAGTGTGCGCTTCTAAAATATGCACGACACCAAGTTGGGAAGGATAGCCAGTACTTTGGAGGACACAATTAGAATTCTAGACAACCTTGATTAAATTGGTCTGAAATTAACCGTTCAATAGAAAACTTCTACACTTAGGAAATGAAAATATAAAATGCACATCTCCGAAAAGGGGAATAATTGGCTAAAAGGTAGTAATACTGAAAAGGATCTGGTGATTATAGTGGATCACAAATTGAATATGAGTTAATGATGTGATGCAATTGCAAAAAAGGCTAATATCCAGGGGTGCATGAAGAGGAGAGTTATACAGACTATACTAAACGCAATTGTTCCTTCTAGCCATATATTTCTATGTTTCTAGATCCTTATCTGAGATTTACCTGGTGGTGAAATTGAAGTGCCTTGTGTTTGCTGTGCCTCAAGAGAGCTCACATGCATTATCTGAGGTAAACATCACTACTTTAAGAGGTGATGCTATATGAAGGTTTCAGAAAGTTGGTAAGTCCAAAATACAAGCAATAGGTAAGGGAGTGGAACAGTCCAGAAGTTTGGAGTGTACTTGTGACTTTTCTTGATAGTTTAGTTCACTGTGCTGTCACACTTAGGCCCTGATCTTACAAATGCTTAATCCCATTGAAACTAATGACAGTACTTGTATTTAAGCACATGCTTCACTGTTTTCAGGATCAGGGTCATGATTGGTCTTCTATGCTTGGATGCTCTGGAGATCATCAGTATCATGTTTTATTTGAAAAGCACCGACAGAAAGGAAACAGGAAATAGCATCTAGTGACTGTCAAGAGGAATCTGGTGGGTCAAATAAATGATGGATGCTTCCTATTCTTGGTTGCAAGGAGAGAGCAGAACTTAGCCGTATTTCTCCCCCTTCCTCTCCCCGGCCTCTTTTCTTCCCCTGTGGATTGACTAGGGAGCCTTACTCATGGTGTTGTGCTGTATAGAAAAGTTTAACAAATCCAATTCTTACAATTTTACACTGCAGACCACAGGGTTCTGAATACTAAGAGTGAACTGGACCATAATATTACTAACTTCACTCTGATGCTGCTTGGGAAAGCAATGGGTTGCAACAGAGGCACTGAACTGTCTAGTGGCACTCTCCAGAACAAATCACTGTTGATTTATGTTTGGAAGCTTACTTGGCAGCCACATGGGTCAGAAACTTAAAAAAAATAAAAAGCTTGAATTGTGCAGAAATTGATAGTTTAGCTACCACATCATACCAAGTTCTCTCAGAAAAGCTAGATACGTGGGTGTTTTAAATTGACCAAAACAAACAAACGATTTAACAGAAGCTGTACAAGTAAATAATTTTCAAGTGCTTATTAGCCAGAAGACCCAATTGTTGTTTCCAATCTACTCTTGAGTTTAAGATTTTGTTAACCACTTTTTTATAGTTCCAGTCCCTGCTACAAAAATGAAATAGATTACAGACTCCAGCTTAAAAAAAAAGTTAAGGATTGTGTTTTGTCCTTCCAAAGTCCATCATCCACCTGTATGTCAAAACCTCCACCTCTGTAAATTTCTACATTAGACTGACGCTTCAATAAATATGATTTCCTTGTAATCCACAATCACCTGCATCCAGTGTAACTTCTGTCCAGAAAAAACAAAACAAACAAACCACACAACCTCAGGGTCAGTTATAGCCTAAATAAATGCTTTACAATGTACATCACTCAGCTGCTACACAGACAAGCGTTATGGCAAAGCAGAACTCAGCACAGCTTAAGGAGGATAAAATAACTCGAGCGCCTGGTAAATGATTGAGATACAGCATCAGGAGGCAAATGATAAAAGAAGGTAAAAGAAGGATGGAGAGATCTGACCTAGTGTTTGAAATTCCATTTAATGTTGGGCAAGATTTTCCCGGCTCATGCTCTAGAGGCAGAATGTCACAGATTATATTAATGTAGTTGTGATGTTTTAGATGCTACTTGTAATTAATAGAACTGGGACCATTGGCTGTTGGTAGTCTGGAAGCACAGAAGACAGGAAGGCGGGGGGAGAAGACTAGCTGGGACTGAGAGCTACAGAGGGGAGCAGCAGCAGCCTTGTAAAGAGGTTTCACTTTTGGTAAATAAAGTCCTGTTGAAGTTTGTTAGTACCTTGCTTGCATGATACAACATTCTGGTGACAAGGATAGATCTTCTGCCTCTGAACCCACCTGCACCCTTTCTGCAAAGCCCAGGTGAGCCTCCAATTGCTTTTACTGCCTGGATTCATATGTTTGAGACTTATCTGCTTGCAATCAGTGCTACAGAGATTTCTGAAGTAAGAAAGCGTGCTCTGCTAATCCACTGCCTTGGAGCAGAAGGGCAGCGCATATTTTACACTTTCCCCCTTACAGATGATAAATATGAGACTGCACTCACTGCATTAAATAACTTTTTTGTGCCAAAAGTGAATGTAATAGCTAATTGCTACAGATTTAGCCAGCATGAGCAGAAACCAGGGGAGACTACAATGCAGTATATTGCTTCTCTGAGGAGTCTAAGTGTAATTTGTGACTTTGGGAATACAGCAGACGAGATTATTAGAGACCAGCTGATTGAGAAAACAACCATGCTTTGTGTAAGAAGAACACATGCTTCTAGGACCACAGCTCACACTGGAAAAAGCAATAACCATTGCTACCCAGATTGAGTCAGCTATAGCAGAAGCCTAATGAGCATGGATACAGGAGGCCCAATCCAGGCTATGACTCCTTTGCAGAAAAGTC